AAAAAAAAGTTGATCTCTGTGCTCAAGAGATCAGACTTGTCTGATGGGGAGACAGATGCACTCTTAAAACAGGAATATTGTGCCTCCTACATGTACGCACTCAACCAGTACTTGTCGAATGAATACAGGAATGAAATGCACTACTCTCATTGAGGTACGCAACACAGGGGGCAAGGAATCTGCTTGGTGTTAGCAGTCCTGCCATCTGAGGCAGTACCAGACAGGTGAGTTCCTTCTGCTAATGAATGACAAGAGCGGCAGGCAGAGCAAGCTCATGAGCAAAGGCACTGGTGTCTGTTTGGGAAGTGCATGCTCTTAGATGGCTGGAGCTGGGCTGGGTTCCCAGGCCACACTGTGTGGGCAAAGTACAGGCCATGCTGGTACAGGGCTGACAGGAATGGAGGGGATCACTCACGCCTCTAGCAGTTTAGTCCTCCTCTAGAATTCCGTGACCACAAAGAGCTAAGTCCTTGCTTTAAACCTGCATTCTAATTTGGGAAACAATATAAAAGCAAGACAAACACTCAACATAACCTCAAGTACTGATAAGTTTAAGGAAAAATACAGCAGGGTTAGGGAATAGTGCATAACAGGAGTTAGATGATGTCAGGAAAGTTTGAGGTGGTATCTGAGGCGAGAAATGAGTTAAGAGTGGATACTAATGAAGGAAATTGCCTTCATTAGCGTAGCAGGAAATCTAAGTTACAGTTCCAGCTTTAGCCTCTTCCGGTTGGGTGGCCTGGAAAAGCTGTTTTAAATTCACCAGAGCATCAGCTGGCTGTTACAGACCAAAAAACCAAAGAGCACCACACATAGTAAGTACTCAATAATTGTTGACTCAGTTAATATTAGTTACCAAATTCTCTTTCAGCAAGCATTGTTCTTTTTTCAGTATTATCACATTATAAATGTCACACAGGGCTGAGGATTTAGCTCAGTGGTGCCACTGCCTACCTCGCAAGCGCAAGGTCCCGAGTTCGATCCCTGATACCAAGAAAAAAGTCACACATATCCTTTAAGTTCCCTTTCACAATGCTAACTGCGTAAGAGCTTCTTTTTCCCAATATACCTCTCCTGCCCTCCCACTGCCTCTTAGCAGAGGGTTATGATGTCTGTATTTCTACCCAAAGGGCTGTGTTGAGCTTAAAATCAATTCTGAAAATTCTCCTTCCAGATGATGGTAATTTACTGCAGACCCCTGCGGCGCATCCCAGTCTCCTCCTCCGTGCCGTGGTGCATGCCAAGAAGACAGACTCAGGGAATGAAAGAAACGGGCGGGGAACCGGGATGACCAGTGCTTGGAGAAGCAAAGCCCCTGAAAGGCCAGAACTGGCAACACTGGTGACACAATCAGTTAAATTGGGGTGATGGGGCTACGTGAAGGGCTACTGTAGTTATTAGGGACACGTTCCTCATAAAGGAAGAGACAAAGCATTCTTGGGTTAGGCTGGGGACAGAATTTGGGTGTGAGTCACTGACCTCAGCTGTGTTATTTCATAGGCTTTGGTCAGACTTATTTCTTTTTTTTTTTTGGTACCGGGGATCGAACTCAGGTCCTGGTGCTTGCGAGGCAGGCACATTGCCACTGAGGTAAATCCCCGGCCCTGGTCAGACTCACTTCTTAAAACAAGCCAACTGTGGGGTGAGCTGTGCACAGGCTGCACTGCTTACAGCCTGCTTTGGGCATGATCAATAGGGCAGCTGTCACTGACAAACTGTCATTTACTGAGTGCCTATGTATCAATGGTGGCAATCACAGATATTAGAACAGACCAGGATACCATTCACCAATACACTTCTGGGGCCAACAGAATGCTTATCACATAATAGAGGTCACATAAATATTTGAATAAGCAAGTCTCAGAAAGCTTTAAAAGCCAGGGAAAGAATGTAGCAGAAAAGAATTTGAAGTTAGACATGTCTGACAAAAAGGCTTGAGCCATGTTACTCAAAATAAGTTATCCTAACAGTGAATCTAGAAGAAAAGCCCCCAAGAACTTCAGACAGATCTTAAAATGCCTCAAGTAGGTGGGTCAGAGAGAGACTGATCCAGGACTGAAGCAGCTAGAGACAGAACTTTAGCATAGCACTCCATTGTCAAGGCAGTCAATGAAGTGATGAGCAGATATACAAATAGTAACCTATGGAGAAGTCTGTCATCAGGTAATACGATCAAATGAGCAAGGAATCAGGGTATAAAATGGTTTAAAGGAAAAGAAGTCCTAGACGTTGAAGTGAAAGCTGGCATCAGAGCTCATGCATTTATGCCTGTGTCAGGTTCAAAGCAAAGTGAATCCAGGTTAGACACTCCTAGCACAACTTCGAAATTTTCATTTCCTAAAATCTCAAGAATACTTCGGTTTGTTGTACCTGTCTGAAAAAGACGGTCCTAAACTATCATAGTCGAGTGAACACGTGATCATCAGATCCCTGGAAAACGTTTCAGTGGGACTCTCCCCACCTCTGAATATTCAGAACACTGCAGTACAGTCTTAAAATTATTGAGAGAAATGTTTCATGAAAAACCTAGCTGAGCACTTAGTTGTTACTCAATACATGTTAATTTTCTCCCCTCCCTAGCAGTTTGTCTTGTTTCCACCTTTTGGCTATGATGAACGTTATGGATGTAGTGCATTTTTTAAATTAGTAAATGTTTGTAGTACGTTTACATTTCTTGTGGCAAATTGGTTACTTGTACAGAACAGATCTTATACATATATTTAACCCCCTTTCCCTTCCCTCCATCCGATTCCAAAAAAGGGATATGTTTGCACTACATGTTTACATGTGTGAGCCTATGTTCTTTTGAAAAGAAATATATGCATGCCTGGGAGAATTGTGTCACACTGTGACTGTTTGACCATCTGAGGGGTGATAAGCCTTTCTGAAAATGGCTGCTGTATTTTATATTCCTACCAGGTTGGTGAGGGTTCCAATTTCTCCACATCCTAAATTCAGGCTATTGTCTTTTTCTTAATTGTACTCATTCTAATGGTTGCAAAATGGTAAATATTATCCCTTTGATTCTGTCATTATCTTGATGGCTAAATGTTAAAAATATTTTCACATGTTCACTGGCCATCTGATTATCTTCAGTACTCAGATAGTTGGCTTCTCTCACTTATCTTGAGTTGTAAGAGTTCTCTATACAAATCCTTCTAGATGTCTTTTATCATATTTATGATTAGCAAATATTTTCTCCCATTCTAAGTGGACTGTCTCTTCACTCTAACATTGTCCTTTCAAACACAAGTTTTGATTCATCGAAACTAATTTTTAAAATTTCTGCCTATATATTTGGTGTCACACATAAAATCATCCCCTATTCCAAAGTTAAAAGATTTATGCCTCTATTTTCTTCTAAGAGTTTTATAGTGTTAGCTCTTATACTTAGGTCTCTGGTCCATTTTGCATTCATGTTCTATATGGTAAAAGGTAAGGATAAAGCTCCTTTTTCAAGTGAATATTCAATAGTTCCAGCAGCATTTATTGAAAGACTTGTTTCCCCCACTGCACTGTCTTTATGTGGCTGAAAATCAACTGATAATTACTATGAAGGCATATTTCTGGTATCTTGATTCCATCCCATTGACCTACATACCTATTTTTTATCCCAGAACAACAGTCTTCATTTCTAGAGCTCTGGAGCAAATTTTGAAATCAAGAAAGTGAGTTGTCCAATTTTTTATTGTGACTGTATGACTATTGTTTCTTAAATTTCTTTATGAATGTTAGAATCAGCTTGCTAGCTGGAACTGATGGGACTGCCCTGAACCTGAAGATCGTTTTAAAGAACACTAGCACCTTAATTCTTCTGATTCATAAGGGATATCTCTTTAATTTCTTTCTAAGTTTCATACTTTCAAGGGTATAATTTTTGAACTTCCTGCTTAACTTTTCAGAGTATTTTCCTCTTCGTAGTAGTATTGTAAATGGAATTATTTTTCCAATTTTCACTCGGTATCACACACTGAGTGTATAGAAATAGTTTTGTACACTAATCTTGTATCCTGCAACCTTGAAGAACTCATATTACTACAATCATCTTGGAAAGTGGGTACATGTACATGATACAACTTTTTAAATCACCTTCCCTCCTTCCTTCAATTTCCCTTTCCCTATTTTCATTCTTGATATTATTAATCTTAGCTCCTGTTTATGGCATATGTTCACATTCACTGAGGTTATGATTTAATCAGTGTTAAAATACTTCCTAATGGTTTCCTTAGGGTTTTCAATGTAGATCTGTCTGTGGTAAACAGGAAGTTTCAGTGTTTCTTTTCAAACCTGGGTGCCCTGCAGTTTGAGCACTAAATAAATGTTTTGAGAGGGAGGGGCAGTATCGAGGCTTGAACCCAGAGCCCTTGTACTCATCTCCAGTATCTGCGGCCCTTTTATTTTTATTTTGACATATGGTATTGCCAACTTTCCCAGGCTGGGTGTAGGTTTTCGATTGCCTCCCTCAGCCTCCCACAGTGCTGGGATTACAGGGTTGAGCCATCATACCCGGCTAAATTTATGTGAGACCTAATATGTGGAGTTACTAAAGTCAATACTGCATAGATTAATTTTTAAAACAAAAAGGAAAAAAAACAGTGCTTAGGAGAACCAACCAACCAACCAACAGAAAAACCAAGGAATTAGAGGGCAAAAATTGATTCCTACAACACTACTGCACTGTATTAAGGAAGTTTCTAATCTCCTTCTATTTGTACATTCAATTTTCTGAATCTTTCTCTACGTGATATACCTGTGAACTTCTAGGGACAACTGCCTTGGTTTATTCAGCCACTGCTACAACCGTGACTGTTACTGTGAGCAATGACCACCCTCTCTCCTCTTCTGTTTTTGCTCCACAAAGGAGAGTGAGGTCACTGAAAGGGGAAGCCCTCTAACCTCAGGCTAAGAGAATGTGACTGTCAGGAGGCAGTGTAAGGTGACCAGGGAGGACACCGTCTGGGGAACAGGTGGAAGATATTTAGGATGAGTGCTCTTGGCAGTTTGTGGGAAAAACAAAGGCTTTACTCTGTCAAACAGCGTACTAACATTTAAAAACTTTAACCAATAAAGATACTTCGAAAATGATAAAAATGTATTGTAAAAATACATACTTTCACCACAGGGGTTCATCTTTTAAAACCAAAGTTTTAGGCGACATTTTAAAATTGTAACTTTGATAAAATGGCAAAAATGTTGCATGACATACACAACCACACTCCATTTTTCCACCCAACATTAACTAGGTACCTTCCTTCTGCTAAGGCTGACAGTAGGAGGACAAGCTATACTTAAGTATTTTAAATTTCATTTCAAGTGTTCTGGAACCTTAGTTTTAATCTCTGGGATAAAGGAAGGGGACTATCCAAACAAGTACCAAGGCCATCGTCTTTCTTATGACACTGTAGAAAACCCAGAGAAGTTTTTGCTGGGTCTGAGAAATGTTTTTCTTCATTTCCAGTTGTTTTGTAAGACTTAACACTCGATTTAGTTTCTTTGGCATGGATTGGAGGGTTCCTCTGTTTGTTGTGGTCACTTTCTTTAAATTGGGCTAAGTCATTCTTCTGTGAACTATGTTTCATTTTTCGAGTCGTGTTCTTCACTTTACCAAATACTGGACCACTTTCTTCATCAGAGGAATGTCTGTCAAGGCAAGTACTATTCTTCTTGACAAGTTTCTGAATGGTGTGCATATTAACTTTTCCACTATGACCTAAAAAAGTATTTGGTGGCCCAGCTCTAACATTGGAGGTCTTTACTATTTTACTACTATTGACAGAATAAAGTACAGAAGTATTCACTTTAGAGTTTTCTTGATGCAGCTGGTCTCCTTTTATAACTTTAGCGTTTCTGGATTCATTTTGCAAATTAATTCCAGGAAGATCCTTTGAAAGATGTGACGGACAATCAGATCTACTATTAGCAATATAAGATTCTTTTATCTTTTGTAGGGACAAAGTTTTCAGGTCAACATCTGATTGTACATTATTCTCTGGATATGATGATTTCATATATATACGTTCTTTTAAAGGCAAATCCTGAAGACATAAATCACTAATGCCAGAAAGTAGATGTTCTTCAGGACTAACCTTCTGAAGATGCCCATGTGACAATTTATTAATGTTTGTGGTCCACCGTCCTGATTCACATGACAACTGTTCTGGGATATTTTCAAAATCACCAGGGGTGACTAATAGCTTTGATTCAAGTTCAGACTGTAAATCATAAGAGACAGCTTTCCCTTGAACAGCTGAGTCATTACTAAAAGAAGTCCCTTCCCAGTCAATGGAGCTCAAGTGTAAATCAGTAATCATAGATATATCATGAAATAAAGGATTGGGTTGACCAGATTCCAAATTGAGAGAGTTACTTGCACCTTTAATTTGCCGACTAAGCAAAGGTCTTGAAGACATTAACTCTTCTTGCATATTTAAACAGGGAGCATCTTCAGGTAAAAGCAAGCTAGTCAACGAGGCAGAAATATTTTCCTGTGGTAATACGGGATCAGAAGAAATTTCCAAGTTTAACTTGGAATTCAGCTTAGGAAAGATTTCAGGTGTGGGTTTTAAAGTCACAAGTGACTGAAAATTCATTACATCATATGGTTCTGGGAAATTGTCTTCTTTAGGCTTAATTTTCATATCTAAAAAAAAATGTAATATGTAAATATACACATACATGAAGTAGACATGTTTTTTTCCTTAATTGGGTTAAAAAAAAATTCAGATAAAAAATTTTCTATATGAGCTATTTTTGGCTATTTTTTATTCTCAGTGCATTCCTGGAAATATTTTTAAATATTTTCTTTTAGAAACAATGATAAATTGAGTTCTTTTCTTATTGAGTTTTAAGAAAGAAAATAGATTTATAACATTAAATATTTTTTAAACAATAGTTGCCCTACAACTGCTTAGCAAAGCTACTAATACTTGGTTAAGTTAGTAGACACAGAGCACAAGTATATGCCTGGCTTTTTAGCTTTAAAAGAAATTATATGAAGGGAAGCTAGAGTTCCATGTTTACTCTTGATTTGATAGAATTCTCAGCAAAATTTAGATACGATAGGTTCAAACAGAACAGGTGGCTCTTCTGTAACACTGGTGTGACGTACACATGATTATCTGCTCCAGTACTCACTGTTTTGCTTCCTCCCTTTAGCTTCTAAATTTTGGTTTTGGTAAATGGCAACAATCTCAGGATAAGCTGCTTCAAACAACGATTCTTCTTCAACTGTTAGAATCAGTTCTCCATGTTCTCCATCTTCTACAGCAAAATGTTCTACAAGATTAAAAATACAGTAAAGCAGCCTTGATTACAGGTTTAAAAAACCATTTCTTCCAAGTAACTATGTTAGCCAAGTATTGAGACGTCCACAAGCAGCTAATTCATTGTAAATCTTGTTTTCAACATCTGTATTCTCAAAGCTTGCTGATAACAGTGCAGAATTTACTTTCCCTTGCCTGGCACAGGTGAAAGAAAATTCTTTTTAAATTAGAAGTTTAAATTCTTAAATTTTCTTGCTTCAAAGCTGGTAGCAGAGCCAGGCATGGTGCTCCACGCCTGTAATCCCAACACTTGGGAGACTGAGGAAGGAGGATCGCAGTGAATTCCAGGCCAGCAAGGGAAGATGTGCTGCTAAACTAGGTTAGTATTTCTTTTCTGAAAATATGTTAGTTTGCAGTACTGTTCCCACATAATGTTCAAAGTTCTTCAGCCTTCTGTCTTCCTATTATTGGTTAGAATGATTAAGTAATTTACTAATTTTATTCTTCAAAGCTATCACTGAACAAATCTACTCTGATTCATCTAAATATACAATCTAGTTGGGGATTTAGCTCAGTGGCACAGTGCCTGCCTGGCAAGCATGAGGTCCTGAGTTCGATCCCCAGTCCCCCCCCCAAAAAAAAATCTAATTTAAAATCCAAATATAAATGAATTTAATTTGGGGTCATTTTTCATTTTAAATTATCCATGCTTTATTTGCTTCCAGTTTAAGAACTAATCAAGAATTCACAGTATTTCTGTGTAGTAAAAATAAGATTAATTTGACAGTTATAAATTCCCATGAAACCAAACAGTAAATAAAGGAGATGAAGAATATTCCAGGTACTATTCAACAACCTCAATTGCTTTAGAACCAGCTATACATAAAATCTAATGACAGACTATTTATTTATTTATTTTTAGTGGGGTAAAGGTTTTTTTTTAATTAAATTTTATTTTATCCCATCCCCCCTAAAGCCCCTTCTACCTATGTACAAAGCTGTTTCCATTTTTCTATTTTCACTTCTAATGACAGACAAAAGAAATGTCAAATAAAACATTAAAATAAAATCACTTAAAGTTTATCATATTTACTATTAGTCAAAGTATATTTAAAATAATACAAGTAAATTAAAAGGCTAATCCATGGTGCATGTGATAGGTTTTTTTCCCTTTATTTTGCATATGCACATATCTTATACACACAAGCAAATATATATATATGTGCCCGTGTATGTATATATGTTCAAATGTAAATTAAACATTTATTTGTAGTGAGTACATACCAGGCATTTCCCATTCTATTTCAAAGCAATGAACTCCATTTCTGATTCGGGGCTTAACAATTCTGAAAAACAAATTCATCTAATTTGGTTTCATGAATTATTTGGAAATTTTCAATTTTTAGATTAATTCAATTCCATTGATCTTTACTGTATGTAAAAATATAGGAATTTTACTGCCTCATTACTCCTTTGAATAGTTAACAGAGTAAAATTTTATTGTTAGATGCAGACTATAAGTGTTAGATTTTTCCCAGTACATCACTTCATTATACAGTGTTCCTCTTTTCTGATTTTTAAAGTCCATTTTGTTACAGTATTTTGGTAAATATTTGTCTAGTAAATCTTAAATCTGTTTTTAAACTTCATATATTACTCTACATGTTCCTTGTAAACATAACACTGCTAGTCTTTATTAGTGCAAGATACATGTATTAGACTCATTCATAAATTGTTTCCTGTTACCAGCTTTTTAAATTTTTTACTACTCCCTTTTTCCTACCTACACTTTTTCAATAGTTTTCCTATTTTAATTGTGCTAGTCTGGGTAATAGAGATTATATTTCTAGTGGTTACTCTAAAATGTATTAATAAATAGTGATAATAAGCTAAAACTCTCAAAGAATGGATTTAAACATATAGGACATTAGTCTTAAATATACTTGAAATACAATCTCCACATGCATACTTTCAGAGCTTTAGTATCATCATTATCTATTATTAAATATTTGTATAATTTTTTCTCTTAAATTAGCCACATGTTTTACCAATTTCTGTGACATTACTGTTTAGAATGTCCTGAGTCTCACGTATTCAGAGGTGGGGCTTTTGGAAGGTGACTAGATCAGGGAGCTCTATACTCATCAGCGTTACTAAGTCCACAGCTAAATGTGCTTTTAGGAGGTGGGGCACAACTGGAGGAGGCATTTACAGGGGCTTGCCTTTGGAGGGTATCTCTCCCTGGCTCCTCTCTGTTCTTCCTGCTTCCTAGCTGCCATAGGTTTAACAAGTTTCCTCCACCATGCCCTTTCTCCATGCCATTTGGCCTTGGACTTAACTATAGACTGAACACTCAGAAACCACTAGCCAAAATAAACCTTTCCTCTTTTAAGTTGTGAGTAATTGGTCCCAGTGACAGAACTGTGACTAATACATATACTGACTACTATTTCCTCTAACCTCCCCTTAAGTTTTACTTTTTTTCCCTTAAAGTGTATGCTTTCCCACTATTAGAGGTATTGAGAAATATTCAAATAGAAACACAAAGCTTTCATCATGGAATTCTTGAAGTTACGTTACCGAATTGGTTGCAGTTGGTCGGAGTTCTTTCTGCCGAGTTTTCTTTCCATCATGTCATAGCGGGTCAAAAGCACCAACAGTTTCTTACATGCATAGTGATTGGGCCACTCCATTTTTTCAAGAGTAAATCTCTGTAAGAAGAAAAATAAATCATGCATTTAAAAAAATTTCTTGAAGACAAATGTTATCATTTAATTTTCACAGTGACTTCATGAGTTTTTTTTTGAGGGAACACATATGCAAGGTCACCCTGTAAACAACTGTCCAAATTTACATCTGTCTCACTGATTTAATTAAAATTCAGTCATTCTGTAAATTATAGTGTTTTACAGGAACATACCCGATCCTGACATTCTTTGGTCATGAACCTCTCTTCCCCAAACATACTGCTGGATACAGTCTGTCTGTATATGGTAACTATGGTGTCTCCTAAAAATAGTGTAACTGGGGTCTATTGGGTCTAAGGTCTAAGTCTGGCCATCATGTAGGAGAGTAAAGGTCAGAAGTAAATGCTGAAAGGCATGTCTGATGGCCCACACCTGTGATCCCAGCTCCTCAGAAGGCCGAGGCGAGATGATGGTGAGTTCAAAGGCAGCCTGGACAATTCAGCAAGACCCTATCTCACATGTAAAGAAGAGGGGTGGGGTATGGTGCAGCGATGTAGCTCAGTGGTAGAGCACTTGCCTAGCATGAGCAAGGCCAAGTTCAATCCCTAGTACTAGAAGTTAAAAAAAAAATGCTGAAAACTGTACAGTCAATAGCTGTCTGTTTTAATTTTTAAACCTGACACAGACCAATCAAAGTGAATGTTCCATCCTATCTTTCCAGAATCCAACTTCATATTAAACAGGAAGAATTTATTTTCAAATACCTGAAACAATAATAAATCAGGTCTTTGGTATCTTATTACCCTCACCAATTTATCCTTGTTCAAAAGGAATTCTTGAATAACCTAGCAAAAAGAGAAAAGATCATATGAATCGAGACTTTAAAACTTTTATGAAATATATACACAATTGAATTAGTGTTCATTACCTCATGGAATGGGAATCCCTCACAACTGCAAGCCTTCCTGAAAACAGTTCATACACACGTTATTATTACAATGAGGCAATTGTAGACAGACTGAAATAACCCACCCAATCTCCCATTTATAAAAAGTATCCATGTACTATATCTTAAAGTCATCAAGCTTCTCTTGGGGATACTATTACTCTCCTTTGAGATATGTGATTTTTAAAACAAAATCAAGAGGAAGCATATTTGAGCCAGACATGGTGGTGCATGCCTCGAATATGAATACTTTAGGAAGGTGACCGAGAATTTCAAGTTTGAGTTCCATCTAGGCAACTTAGCAAAACCCTGTCTCAAAATTAGAGGGCTGGAGATGTAGTCCAATGTGAAGGTCCTGGGTTCAATCCCTAATACTGGAACACCTACACAAAAAGGGATACATGACACATGAGTAATCTAGACATGTCACACATTAGGGAAGATTATGTGGAAATAATTCAACCACAAGTGTGTACATAGGCCCTGCCAAAAAAAGAATTTTCTAAAAAAAAAAAACTTACTTTTTTTTTTTTTTTTCCCGGAGACAGAGTCTCACTTTGTAGTTTAGGCTGGCCTTGAACTCACTATGCAGCCCAGGGTGTCTTTGAACTTGCAGTGATCCTCCTGCCTCAGCCTCCTGAGTGCTGGAATTACAGATGTGCGCCACCATGCCCAGCTCTAAAAACTTACTTCTTAATATTGTTCTCTACTCCGATTAGTTGCCTATCATGTTTTGTCTGATGCCATTCGCAAGGACAGCAGTATTCATAATCATGTGGTTCACAGTATCTACTACTTTTACATAACTGGCAACCATTACGTTCATGATCCTTCAGTGAACCTTCATGGAGACATAAAGAAATATAATTTTCACTGCCTTTTCAATACTTTTTGCTGTTATCTAAATTTTCAAATGTTACTACTGCCTAGCACAGTGCATACCATAAAGGTTTCAATACTTTTAGGTTGCACAAATAATACTACAGTTATTCTTAGGATAAAATAGACTTTGGGCTATTACTAGCACAGGACATTTAAAAAATTACTATTCTACTTGAAAGTATTAGTTTTTGAATCGAAATTATACATTTATCATAATAGAAAATGTTCTGGTTTACACAGTAGTTACATGCTAGAAAAGCAGAATGTAATTATTAACAAAAAAAGATGACTTAACAGAGTAGTTCATGAACTGCTTTGTTTAATGAACATATTAAAAGAACACACCAGCTGTTACCTTGCCCAGTGTCTAGCTCCCAGTTACGGGTACGGTTATTTTTAAACTATGCTTGGAATATAAACTGATTAGGACAATAGCACCCGTGTGGTGCTCTTGCTTCCTCTACACGGAAAGCGTGATGACTTTCAACATTTTTTAAAATACGGAGAGTATAAACCTAAAGCTGTCATTTATAAGGTAACAAAACACTATGGAATGGTGCCTTGTTTATATAAGCATTCATTTTCTTCCTGATTTCATTTATAATCTTAACAATGTTAATGAAAAACACTTGTTAAGACACACAGATAAAGTTGAATTTCTTTTTTTTGGTACTGAGAATTGAACTCGGGACCTTGTGCTTTCGAGCCAGGCAGCAGAACCACTGAGCTACATCCCCGGCCCGAGCTGCATTTCTTTTGAGATAATCTAACCCAATTTCCTCACCGCTGTGGGTGTGAAAGACCTTGAGGACCCAGGGGCACGTGTTCAGTGGTGTATCTTTTCTAACCAAAACTAATGACGATTCAAGCTATTTTTCACTAAGAGTGAAAATGCGACAGAAATTACTTTTAAGTCACTATCTTTACACACAATGCGAACACATTGTAAGACAATGAAGAATCATTTTAGTATATGAATCACTGACACAAAAACAAATAGTTTCTTTTTCCCCTGCCAGAAGTTACATTTTCCCTTAAATTGGATTTGCATATTGAAAACATGGTATTCTAAGAATTAGAGTAATTTGGTATTACAGTTTGAAACTACATTTATCTTTATATCGTGTTACTACACTCAACATTTCCTGAGTACCTACTATATGTATATAACGTAACTTCTGGCTCCAAGGCATTCCCTATTTAGCGGGGAAGGCAATTTAAATGCTTTCAAAGTGCTATTAATAAAGCTATGAGAAAACATAAGAGCAGGAAGGAAAATGTGGACAGCGGACCCTAATATTCTGGACCCTCGCTGTGTCTGCTTACCTGGATGGGAACACACAGAGCAATGGGCCAGTTCAGCTGCTTCTGGCTGCGGAACAGAATGGCAAGACTTTTCATTCCACTGATTAAACCTTTAATAGAAAATGGTTTAAAAAGAAAATAAGGTCACAAAAATGTCATGTTCCCAAACCCCAGTCTCCCGTATTTCCTCTCACCTGTGTAATCATTTTTCCTTTGGTGGTAAATTCAGTGGCCCAGCCTAGAAAAATCCTGTTACAAACTTTAAATGTGGCCCCAGGGACAGCAGAGTTGCTAAAGTGAGGAGAGGGTATCGATGTGTATGTCTGTATTATCTATACACTGTGAATAGTCATATATACATTCAGGATTTCCTCAAAAGAATCTCATAAGGCAGCAACATGCAGGGAGAACGTTTTGTATGTCTTTTTTTCCTTTTCTCTGTGTGCCAGAGTATAAAACAAATAGAATACTGTATGTGACTATTCTTCTACATCAGAAATAATATTAAAAGATAATGCATAAACCCAAGTAAATCATTAAGCTTCTGGGTAAAATCTGTTTCAAAAATCTGGATTATTTTTTAATCTTTTACAAAACTAGTAAAACAACATCACATGTTTAATGAAAGATTTTAGGAAACAAGTATATTACTAAGATTCTAATAAAAGTTAATTTGATTTTTGGTTAACATTCCAGGTTAATTTAAAACCACCAAAGTGAAGTTATGTATTAATCATAACATTAACAATTATGTTTTTTTTTTTTTTGTGGTACCAAGCATTGAACTCAGGACCCTGTGCTTGCAAGGCAGGCACAGTGCCACTGAGCTAAATCCCCAGCCCTTTCATAGTTTTATAGCTTTTTTTTGGTTTTATTACTGGGGATCGAACTCGGGACCTTGCGCTTGCCAGGCAGGCAGTGGAGCCACTGAGCTACATCCCCGGCCCTGAATTTTGTTTCTTATAGAAGTTACAGATGTAATTAAAAGCTAAATTATATCTTTAGTTCATTGGGTAATATCTGGTACTTAAAGTTATGATTCAGCTGTTCGAATTTGTCTCATTTACTATAAAGACCAAGCAGAATCTTGCTAGAAATTAGTATTAATTTCCTTTGCGTAAATAATAGAGCTTCAAAAATTAAAAATAACTAGTGAAAAATCAGTGTAAAGTAATAAAATTAGAATAATGGTTAATTAGAAAGAGAAATGCAATTTCATCACAGTTAAGTGTTAAGACAAACACTGCTTCAGGCCAGGGATTTAGCTCAGTGGCATGGTGCCTGCCTTGAAAGCACAAGGTCCAGAGTTTGATCCCTGGTACCAAAAAGACAAACGCTGCTTAAATACTGCCAAGCGTACATTTTGGTGAACCTATTTCCGTAAGAATGGCTTGAAGTCAGCCAATTTCCATATTTGCTTGGCTTTCCTTTCTTACATTATTCTTCATAATTCTCACATCAATGCTAACATGTACCTCTTTTTTCCTACTTTGGCGCAGTCAGCATTGATGTCAGTAGTGGATTTACTGCTGTCTTAGAGCTGTTAATGACGTGACAGCTCAAAGAGAAGCTGTAAGAGGAAAGAGTGCCGAGACTGTAAACCCTGTCATGGCCACTACTTCTTCATTTGTATCACAGTCTCTTTTCAGGGTCAGTATCTCAAACCTACTGTGAGCCATGACTGCGTTAAGACTCCTCATATCCTGGTTCCTTTCTTATTTATTCTAATCTTATTGTTATTAATTTTTATCAATCACCACTTTCATCAAATAAATATAATTCACATGCTTTTAAGAGAGTAAATGGAGCAGTTTAAAAACTTCATCATGACCTATGTAGTAAGTTCCTGTTGCAAACTTTCACGATATGATGGACCTCACATTATGAACACGTGTAAATGCGAATAAATCGCGAAAGGGGCTCATGTGTCTGCCGAACACTGTTACAGCTGTGCTGCTGTGTGCTCACTGCAGTGCCATAGTGTACTGTACAGTCAGGGACTTACTGTATTTCTGTGCGGTTTTTTTATGCTTTACACATTTGTATATTTGTGTCAAAGGTGTGTAAGACTCACTTTGTTTATTTATGGACTAATCTGATTTACGAACGTTCTCCCAGAATGGAACTCTTGGAAAGGTTGGGGACTTACTGTATGCTAATTGTCTTACTGCTCAAGTTATACAGACCAGAATAAACACACAGCTGCACAATGATGCGTAGTCGAGTGAAGTAATTTCAATCAAGGTTGCTCATTTGGAACACACCACTGACATTTATACAAAGTAAACACATCATCAAAGCTTTCAATATAATCTAAAACTATCTAATGTCATGTTCATCTAAAATAGCCTGTTGTCACTGGGAGTGTTGATGCATTGTCATCCCCACCACTCTGGAGTTTAGGTGGAAGCATGGTGAGGCTGAGCTAAGACTGGGCAGCATAGTGGAAATGGAAACATCTACAAAAACAAAAAGAAGCATGTGGCAAAGCACCTATGGATATTCATGAATGCATTTGACACTCTACATTTGTGTTTAATGACCTAATAACATACTTCTAGCTCAGAGTGGTGTTGCATGCTGAGGCAGAGGCAGAAGGACTGCTGAAAGTATGAGGCCAGCCTGGGCTACACAGTGAGACCCTGTCTCAAAATAAACAAACAAAAATAATATATTTCTAAATATACAATATGGCTTAGAACATATATTCTCATCCTTCCATTGGAAAACTTCAGAAAAAATGTTATTTTAAATGAAAACACAGAGCAGTTTAAAAATATCAAAACTCTTTTGGGTTAATCCTTTGTTAATACTCGTTAAATTCAAGAAGAAGAAAAGTAATGTGGAAGAAAAAGCAATTTGTAGTTACCTCTGAAGCAAACTTTCCCCTTTCAAAATCTGTATAAGTGTTAGTGCTTGCTCTTTTCCAACTCCAGGAACTCCCTTTCAGACAATGGGAAGAAAATGCAAATGTTAATCACTAGGGAGTGACTAGAGAGCAGTACATCAACTCAGTGGAAAATCGTGCAGCTGAAACAAACAATATGTAACTCTGTGCATGTTACTGCTAAAAAAAAATACTTGACACACAAAGTTAAAGGAAGAAAGGTTTATTTGGCTCATAGTTTGTAGAGGTTTCAGTTCCTATTTGCCTGGCTCCAAGGCAGGGTGGCACGGCACTGGGGCATTACAGAGAAACAGTCCATGGCAGGCAGAAGGCAGGAAGGCAGCAAAGTTACCAAGCAGCAGTCAGCAGCAAGCGACTAGCAGCAACCCTTTTTCTGTCCCTTATATTCTATCCCTACTACACACCCTGAGGGCAGGTAGCACTCACACCCACAGTGAGCCTTCCCAATATCCACACTCAGAACCATGCCAAACCAGTCAGTAGACTAATTTAGTAATCACTCACCCTTGATCAATCCCAGCATCACACACTCTAGATCCAGCCTCCTTGGAAATGCCCCACCTAGGAAGGCCTTGAGACTATGACACAAAGCCACAATAGTGCATTATGGTAGGAGACTGTGCAAGACACATCTGAATGTATAAAATGAAATTGTAAAGCATGATTTGATGTAATCTGCAAATTAAATAGCAATGAGATTCTTAGTTGATGTGAACAAAAAAATCCAGAGACCTACATCGTAAACCACTGATAATGTTTATTTTAGGGCAAAATAATTTTAGAGGGCTTTCACTTACTGTGTTAATTATTTTGATTTTGTTTTTTTTGGTACCAGGGATCTAACTTGGGTCCTTCCACTTGCGAGGAAGGTAGTGGAACCACTGAGCTAAATCCCCGGCCTGATTTTGAAGTTTTAATTTGTCCTAACTTTCTTATATTTGTAATTAGTAAAGTCAAGTTCATTTAATTATATGAATATTTAATATTTGAAGACAAGGGCATAAAAAAAATTTCCAAGTTTATTCTCAATATTAAAAACAAGAAAATTAAAAGTGAGCTTCCAAAATTAAAATTTACTCCTGAAAATTATACACATAAATATATATTTACATCACAATTTCTGGCTCAAGTCTCCTGGCTATTAGCTTGTGATTATGTCCTTATAAGTAGGGCCCCTGCTTAGCCATTATGCACCAACATAGATATATCAGTGTTAAAATACTCCTAGACTGCTCAGTAAACAGCAGGAGTACCCTGAATGCCTCCAACAACCTACACCCAGGCTCAAACTACTAAAAAGCTACTCTCCCGCAAAGAAAAAGACCACTCCCAACTCTGTTCCATCTCTATAGCCTACAGCCTGTGACTTTCACATACTTCTTATATATACTGTGTGTATATACTGTGGGCACCTAGGATCTTTGCAGTAAGTTACCACCCCTACCCCCTATCTTTTTGAGACAAGGTCTTTCTAAGTTGACAAGCTGCCCAGACTGGGTTTGAACTTGTGACCCTCCTGTCTCAGCCTCCCAGAACGCTAGGATTACAGGCACGCACCATTACGCCCAGATGTTAGATATTTTGAATATCACCATCTTGTATTAGCTACCTCCCAAATATTCTAAAGGCAAATCATGTTACTACACAGTCTTAAAAACTTTAAAAACAACATAAAGACATAGCAGCTTTGGTAAAAAGAACATAAAAAATCAAAATAGCTAAGGCTTAAAGCATCATAAATACCATTGCAGCTGAAGTTGTTGTCTGTGAGTTCAAGTTAGCAAAGATTTTAGACTCAATATTGGGTTGTTTCTAGATTTTAAACAATATAATTACATATGGGAAATAAAGTCTTTTATTTTACAAGGAGAATTACAATAAAATAATAGTTTGTGGTATTTAAAGTTTTCTTTCCTCCCACTTTTTTTCTTAACAGTTTAAATTATTGATTTCTATATTTTGCCACTAGACATATATTAGAAAACAGGGCTGTTAATTTTACTATCCTGCTATTTTTTCCCTTTTTCCTAGGCCTAAGTGTCTTGATTACTTTTCTTGTTGCGGAGACAAAATACACAACACCAAAGTTAAAGGGGGAAAGGTACAGCTCAGTTTGTAGAGGTTTCAGTCCATAGTCTGATGGCTCCAAGGCAGGGTGGCATGACAGACAGACCTTGCAGAGGAGAAACAGTCCATAGCAGGCAGCAAAGCAGCAAGCAGTGAGCAGCAGGCAGCAAGCAGTGAAGAAGCAGCAGCTTTCTTGTTTCCCTTTATATTTCATCTGGGCTATAAGCTTATTGACTGAGCCACCCATACCTAGGGTGGGGGACTTTTAAGCCCCTCGTGCACCCTAGATCCAGCTACCTCTGAAAAGCACCACCTATGACTGCATGAGGCTCTGGGGGGACATCTAAACATAAGCCATAACATTCTGCCCCTGGCTCCCCAAAGACACATGCACATCCTTTATGCAAAAGGCATTTAGTCCATCTCTAAGAGTTGCCGAAGTCCTAATGGTTTCAGCATTGCTGAAGAGTCCAAGTCCAAAGTCTCCTCTGAGATTGAAGGCAAACTCTTAGCTGCAAGTCCCCACATAAATGAAAAGAAAGTTAACACTTCAACATACAATGGTGCAGGACAGACATTTCTATTCCAAAAGGTACAAAGAGGGGGATAAAAAGGAATGGGAATAAAGCAAGACCAAAATCCAGCAAGGATTAATCCAGCAAACATTAAATCCTGTAGTTCCATTGTCCAGTATTCCATGCAATCTGTGGCAAGTTGTGAACTCCAAAGGGCTTGAGTGGCTCCGCCCCCTACAGCACGTCCGGTGGTTGTAGCTACCATGGCTAGTCTCTTTGGCCAGCTTTGCTCATTCCTTGCAGCTTTCCTCAATGACCTATGTTCCTGGCTTCTCCCACCTGTTGAAGTTTCCACTATACCTTCAGCTTCACACTCAGTTTCACACACTGGCCTCCGAGGTCTTCTTCTGAAATCTGAGGGGAAGCCTACCTCATCCCCCCACTCTTACATTCTGCATGCACCTAAAAGCAGCACCAAGTGGTTGATACCGAAGTCTGCTGCCAGCTGAAGCAGTAGCCAGGCTTCCTTCTTTCTTGGCTGTAGAAATGAGTGCTTGGATTACTGAGCACTAGGAAACAAATCCTGAGGAAGAACTTCCCTAGGCCACTGCCATTCTGGAACATGGTGCTCTGGGGCTTTCTTCTCAAAGCAAAGTCTTTCACATTTGTAATTTTAAGGTTGCAAAAGCCAGAATCCTGCTGGTTCTTGCGATGTCTTCAGGCTACTTTTTCTATTCCCATTCCTTCTCAGCAATCAACTTCTCCTCTTCTCCATCTTTGCAGTCTGCAGCTTTACCAGAACTTCCTTTCTGGCAAAACTCACAACATTTTAAATCATTCTGCTGGGCTCTTTGCTCTTGATTCTCAACATAAATCTGATTAAAAGCCCCCAATAGTGGCCATGCTGCCACCTCAACATTAGACTGCCTTGAAATTTCTTCTGGCAGATTAATTAGTCTGCTGGCTTTAGTCTCAGTTCCAGGCAAAGTCTCTGGATATGAGCAAAATGCAGACGAATTTTCTGCCAAAGCATGACATACATGATGTGGAGTCCAACAGCCAATGCAGTCCTCATTCCCAGCAGAAACCTTCTAAGATTGGTCTTTATTGGCAGCCATTTCTATCAGCATTCTGGTCTTCTGAGCTGACTAGAA